CATTGACTCTGATGGGCTTCCCTTTGTGGGTGACCCGACCTTTCTCTCTGGCTGCCCTTAGTATTTTCTCCTTCATTTCAACCCTGGTGAATATGACGATTATGTGCCTTGGGGTTGCTCTTCTTGTGTAATATCTTTGTGGTGTTCTCTGTATTTCCTGGACTTGAATGTTGGCCTGCCTTGCTAGGTTGGGGAAATTTTTCTGGATAATATCCTGAAGAGTGTTTTCCAGCTTGGATTCGTTCTCTTTGTCCCCTTCTGGTACACCTATCAAACGTAGGTTAGGACTCTTCACATAGTCCCACATTTCTTGGAGACTTTGTTCATTCCTTTTTGCGTTTTTTTTCTGTAATCTTGGTTTCTCGTTTTATTTCATTGAGTTGATCTTCAGCTTCTGATATTCTTTCTTCTGCTTGGTCAATTCGGCTGTTGAAACTTGTGCATGCTTCACAAAGTTGTCATGTCATGTGTTTTAGCTCCTTCAATTCATTCATATTCCTCTCTAAGTTATCCATTCTTGTTATCATTTCCTCGAATCTTTTTTCAAATCTTTTTTCAAGGTTCTTAGGTTCTTTGCATTGATTTAGAACATGTTCTTTTAGCTCACAGAAGTTTCTCATTATCCACCTTTTGAAGTCTAATTCCATCATTTTGTCACAGTCATTCTCCATCCAGCTTTGTTCCCTTGCTGGTGAGGAGTTTTGGTCCTTTCTAGGAGGTGAGGTGTTCTGGTTCCGGGTGTTTTTCTCTTTTTTGCACTGGTTTCTTCCCATCTTTGTGGATTTATCCACCTGTCATCTGAGTAGTTGCTGACTTTTTGATTGGGTCTCTCAGTGGACGCTCAGATTGTTGATGATGAAGTATTTCTGTTACTTGGTTTTCCTTCTACCAGTCTAGCCCCTCCGCTGTACAACTGCTGAGGTCCACTCCAGGCCCTGCTTGTCTGGGGTATACCTGTAGCAGCTGCAGAACGGTGAGGGATGCTACCAGTTTCTTCTTCTGCTATCTTTGTCCCAGAATGATGTCTGCCTAATGTCAGTCTGATCAGTCCTTTTTGAGGTGACTCTGGATATACAGGGGTCAGGGAGCTGCTTGAGGAGACAGTCTGTACTTTATAGGAGCTCAAGTGCTGAGCTGTGAGCTCTGTTGTTCATTCAGGGCTGTTAGGCTGCTACGTTTAAGTCTGCTGCAGCAGAACTCTTAAAACCCCTTTTTTCCCTCAGATGCTCTGTCTTGGGGAGTTGGGGCTTTTTTTATGAGTGTCCTTTGCATTATCCTGCCCAGCTAGGAGGGAGTCTAGTCACTATTTGCCTGCCAAGGATCCTCCCTGCTTATGTGGGGTCTGCCCTGCTGCCACAGCCTCCGCCCTGTGGCGGAGTCTCTCTGTTATGGCGGGTTGCCTCGGTAACGGCAGGCTGCATCAGCAATGCCAATGGGAGTGTATCTCAGTAGGGGCGGATTGCCTTGGTAATGGCGGATGCTTCTCCCCCACCGAGCTTCACTGTCCTGGGTTCAGCTGTGCCTGCAGTGAAACTCTTTACCCGGAGCATTTCGAATTGCTGTTTTATTTGTCCCTGTGGGAGTGAAACCCACCAAGCCTCCTCGCCTGGCTCCCTGCCTCAGAGTGCCTTTTTTTTTTTTTTTTAAGTTGAACAGATGGCTCTCTCCCAGGTCTTTCAGTCGCCCGCTGTTAGGGCACCGGGATCTGTGTGATTTCCCATGCAGCGAGCCACTGCGCTGGCTCAAACGCCACTTCCCAGGAATCTCCTGGTCTGGCTCACTGTCCAAGTCCCGTTGAATCAGGTGGATATGCTAATCTGCCCTCCCCAATCTCAGATTGCCGGTTTAGCAGGGCACCCGGGCCAGTGTATTTTGTGTGGATTGTTGCGGAGTGCCGCTCTGCTGTGGCACCGGCCAAAGTGGCCGCAACAGCCAAAACAGCTGTGCTTGCGTCCCGTGTCTCTCCTACACCTGGGAATTACCCTGTTCTGTGGGCAACAAAGATGCATCTGGAAATGCAGCTTTGACTCACCCTCTGAGCGTTCACTGAGAGCTGCGATCCTGAGTTGTTCTTACCACCTCATCTTGAATCTGCTCCTTACTTTTAGTTCTTTAAGGAATCTCCACACTATTTTCCATAATGGTTGCACTAGCTTACATTCCCACCAACAGTGTAAAAGTGTTTCTTTTTCACCACATCCATGCCAACATCGATTATTTTTTGATGTTTTGATTATGCCCATTCTTGCAAGAGTAGAGTGGTATCACATTGTGGTTTTGACTTGCATTTCCCTGCTAATTAGTGATAATGAGCATTTCTCACATGTTTGTTGGCCATTTGTATATCTTCTTTTGAGAATTGTCTATTCATGTCCTTAGCCAACTTTTTGATGGGATTGTTTATTTTTTCTTGCTGATTTATTTGAGTTCTTTGTAGATTCTGGTTATTAGTCCTTTGCTCAATATATAGATTGTGAAGATTTTCTCCCACTCTGGTGGTTGTCTGTTTACTCTGCTGATTATTTCCTTTGCTGTGCAGAAGCCATTTAGTTTAATTAAGTCCCATCTATTTATCTTTGCTTTTATTGCATTTGCTTTTGGGTTCTTGGTCATGAAGTCTTTGCCTAAGCCAATGTCTGGAAGGGTTTTTCTCATGTGATTTTTCTAGACTCTTTATGGTTTCATTAGATCAAAGACTTAGATTTAAGTCTTTTGTCCACCTTGAGCTGATTTTTGTATAAGATGAGAGATGAGGATCCAGTTTCATTCTACATATAGGCTGCCGATTATTCCAACACCATTTGTTGAATAGGGTGTCCTTTCATTTGCTTTGTTGAAGATCAGTTGGCTGTAAGTATTTCAGTTTATTTCTGGGTTTTCTATTCTGTTCAATTTTTATATGTGCCTATTTTTGTACCAGCACCTTGCTATTTTGGTGACTATGTTCTTATAGTATAGTTTGAAGTTGGATAATGTGATGCTTCCAGATTTGCTCTTTTTGGTTAGTCTTGCTTGGACTATGTGGGTTGTTTTTTGGTTACATATAAATTTTAGGATTGTGTTTCCTAGTTCTGTGAAGAATAATGATGGTATTTTGATGGGCATTGCATTGAATTGCAGATTGCTTTTGGCAGTATGGTCATTTTCACAATATTGATTCTAGCCATTCATGAGCATGGCATGTGTTTCCATTTGTTTGTATTTCTTTTAGCAGTGTTTTGTAGTTTTACTTGTAGAGGTCTTTCACCTCCTTGTTTAGGTATCTTCTTAAATATTTTGTTTTATTTTTTTGTGGCTATCGTGAAAGGGGTCGAATTCTTGATTTGATTCTCAGCTTGTTCGCTGTTGGTGTATAGCAGAGCTACTGATTTGTGCACATTAATTTTGTATCCTGAAACTTTGCTGAATTTATTTGTCACTTCTAGGAGCTTTTTAGAGGAGTCTTTAGGGTTTGCTAGGTATATGGTCATAACGTCAACAGACAGCATCAATTTGACTTCCTCTTTACTGATTTGGATACCATTTATTTCTTTCTCCTGTCTGATTGCTCTGGCTAGGACTTTCAGTACTATGTTGAATAGAAGTGGTGAAAGTGGGCATCCTTGTCTTGTTCCAGTTCTCAGAGGGAACGCTTTCAACTTTTCCCTGTTCAGTATAATGCTGGCTGTGGGTTTGTCATAGATGGCTCAGACCATACTCCACTACATGACAGTGGAGTAAAATTGAAAATCAACTGCAAAAGGAACCCTCAAAACTATGCAAATACATGGAAATTAAATAACCTACTGCTGAATGATTGTTGGGTCAAGAATGAAATCAAGATGGAAATTAACTGAACTGAATGATAATAGTAATACAACCTATCAAAACCTTTGGGATACAGCAAAAGCAACGCTAAAAGGAAAGTTCATAACATTAAATGCCTACATTAGAAACTCTGAAAGAGCACAAATAGACAACCTAGGGTCACAGCTCATGGAACTGGAGAAACAAGACCAATAGAAACCCAAACCCAGCAGAATAAAAGAAATAACAAAGATGAGAGAATAACTAAATAATATTGAAACAAAAAATACATTTAAGTCTTTAATCCATCTTGAGTTAATTTTTGTATAAGGTGTCAGGAAGGGGTCTGGTTTGTCTAGTTCTGTGAAGAATGCCAGTGGTAGTTTAATGGGAATAGCATTGAATCTATAAATTACTTAGAGCAGTATGGCCATTTTCATGATATTGATTCTTCCTATCCATGAGCATGGAATGTTTTTCTGTATGTTTCTGTCCTATCTTATTTCCTTGAGCAGTGGTTTGTAGTTCTCCTATAGTGGAAGTCATTCACTTCCCTTGTTAGCTGTATTCCTAGGCACTTAATTCTCTTTATGGCAATTGTGAATGGGCGTTCATTCATGATTTGGCTCTCTGCTTGTTTCCTGTTGGTGTACAGGAATGCTTGAGATTTTTGCACATTGATTTTGTATCCTGAGAGTTTACTGAAGTTGCTTATTAATTTAAGGAGCTTTTGGGCTGAGATGATGGGATTTTCTAGATACAGGATTATGTAATATGCAAACAGAGACAGTTTGACTTCCTCTCTTCCTATTTGAATACCCTTTATTTCTTTCTCTTGCTTGATTGTCCTGGCCATAACTTCCAATACAATGTTTAATAGGAGTGGTGAGAGAGGGCCTCCTTGTTCTGTGCCATTTTTAATGGGGAATGCTTCCAGCTTTTGTCCATTCAGTATGCTATTAGCTAAGGGTTTGTAATAAATGGCTCTTTTTAAAAATTTAATTTAATTTAAAGTTCCAGGATACAAGTGCTCGTGAAAATCAAATATCAAGCTCTAGGAGGCAACGTCCTTCCCAGGGCCCTTCACAGGGCTGAATTTGCAAGCAAGCAGATTCATCTTTCCGCTGGTCCACTTTCTTTCTCCTACCATCTGATCTGTTCTTCCTCAAGTATGGATGCTGTGATAACCCTGGGTTTTCTCTCCTTTTTGATAGTACATGCGGATGATGGGAGTGCATCCAGTGATCCATTTCCTGGCCTGGTTCCTGGAGAACATGGCTGTGTTGACTATAAGCAGTACTGCTCTGGCCATCATTCTGAAAACAAGTGGCATCTTCGCACACAGCAATGGCTTTATTATTTTCCTCTTTCTCTGGGATTTTGGGGTGTCAGTCGTCATGCTGAGCTACCTCTTGAGTGCATTTTTCAGCCAAGCTAATACAGCAGCCCTTTGCACCAGCCTGGTGTACATGATCAGCTTTCTGCCCTACATAGTACTATTGGTTCTACATAACCAATTAAGTTTTGTCATTCAGACATTTCTGGTAAGTAAGTTGTTTCGTCAAAATACAAAATGAAACAAAACTGTCATCTATGTAACAAAACAAAACCTACCACCCTCACCTTTTCAATTTGTCATGATCGTATCTACATGGGCTTTCTGATAACTGCCTTTTAAAATCTTACCCTCAAATGCAAACCATCGAAATTCTAGTGTTTTTGCTGGTCAGCAGCACCTTAAGAATGTCCAGTTTTTATGTAATGGAGACTTTCTGTAGACTCTGGAAAATAAGCAGCATCCTTGAGGAAGCTTATAACTTTATTTTCTCTTTCTTTCATGCACTGAAGGAAATAGATTTCTAAAGCTATTTTAGAAGTAAAAAATACGCATTTTTGAAGCATTATGAATTACATCACATTAAGTGGAAAAATCTCTCTTAGCAATGTCAGAGTCACTCATCCATTTAAAATTACCTCCTAAAAATGTCTGATAACACTTTCAGGTCTGTAACATCAAATATGTGGAACATACAAATGTATTCATTCTTTTGTGACAGTTGCTGGCAAGCACAGTGCCTGACACATAGTAGGAACTCAAAGTGAGGGTGAACACATCGCTATTGAAACAATTGCTTTCAGGGAGCCACTGGCATCACTGTAAACACTTGCACTGTGCTCAAGACTTTATTCTCCCTAAAAGGTCAAGTGACTTCCTAAAATTGCAGTCTGCTGAGAGATATGACAGATTCATTATCTCTTAGAGACTTTGGGGAGGTGTCAAAGAGATGTAGAACACAGGGATGCTCAGGGGTATTTAAAGGCCCTTGAAAGCCCTTTAGTCCAGCACAGGCTTCATGACAACTCCAGTGCTTCATTCACTTACTGGGAGCAGAACACCTTCTCTGCTCATTTAGTGCCAAGAGTAAAACATTTTATGAAAGCCAAGTGATTTTTCTTCAACTTTAAAAAATAATTTAGAGCTCTCTGGTTTCTATTAGCCATATACACACAACATGGATATACATGCATAATGAAAAAGTGGTTTTATTCCATCAGTATTTTATCTATTGACATGTGTTCATTGGTTTTGATTAGCTTATGTCACATTTGTATAAACTCATAACCAATTATTTTAAGTTAGTGTTAATTAGGTGTTTTCAGAATAATTAACACATGTGGGACCATTTGGGGTCCTTCCCATATTTTCCTTACACATAGAAAAGGAGTCATTCATGATATGACCTAATTTTCAAATGCTGCTATTTTTGGTTTTACTTCAGTCCTTATATGTGTAGGTTCTATGCATGCAAAATTTGATTTTCTTTTTATATATTAAAATGTTTTCTAGCAAGTTAAAAAAATCTAACTCTGGTACATTGTACTGTTTGATGTAAGATTTTTTTTTTCCAATGGAGTTTTGTTCTAACATAAGACCTCTCCTCTGAGATAAAATAACATTTTTCTTCAATACACGTTCTTTCTAGTGTAGAATAGTGTATGTATTCCATCAGTCAGCCTGCAGTGTACTCCGGGGCATTCACTTAATAATAAAAATGGTAAATTGCTCTATTCCCTTTTTCACTGTTTTGTGTTACACATTTCTGTGTATGATGCATCGGATTTATGACACTTCAAGCATCTCAGTGAACAGAAATAATTCCTTTTAGCATTAAAAACTAGCTTGTTATCATGATTTTCAGAGGGACTGACATTCTAAGTTTTTCAGGTTAAAGTATTTAAATGTCTGCCTGAAGTGATGGCTGGGCGTCATCAAAATGAGAAGTTGTCACAGCTTCTCTCTTTAAGTGTTGTGGATTTTCTGTGGTTCCTATCAAACACTAACGTGCAGTTTTTCTCTTCACTCCACGAATCTGTGTGCAGTGCCTTCTCTCCACAACCGCCTTTGGACAAGGGGTATTTTTTATTACATTCCTGGAAGGACAAGAGACAGGTAAGATGAAGGCATGTGTAAAAAGTGACTCTCAGTGAATCACCTTTTTGAAAATTAATGGATATATTGCAAGTGATCCAGCTAAAAGTCTTCATTGTCAAGTAGAGCATTCAGAATGAAATCGGTTGTTTTGCTGTTGTAAACACCTCCCACTATCCGGTGCCCCAGTTTTGAGAACAATCAAGAATAATCATGGCACCCCTTGCTTCACATGCTATCCAGGTCAGCCACCCAGCCAATGCTTGGGTCTTCCTTATACCACCCCTGACATCTGGTCAGGTGAGTGACTGTCAAAACCTTCCAAGAACAAGGTATGCAAATGCATCCATCTGTTAGACCAGGGGTCCCCAACCCCTGGGCCATGGAGCAGTCCATCGCCTGTTGGGAACGGAGCTGCACAGCAGGAGGTGAACAGCAGGTGAGGGAGAGAAGCTTCATCTGTATTTGCAGCCACTTTCCGTTGCTCACGTTATCACCTGAGCACTGCCTCCTGTCAGGTCAGCAGGGGCAATAGATTCTCATAGGAGCCCAAACCCTGTGTGAACTGTGCATGCAAAGGATCTAGGTCGTGTGTTCCTTATGAGAATTTAATGCCTGATGATCTGTCACTGTCTCCCGTCAATCCCAGATGGGACTGTGTAGTTGCAGGAAAACAAGCTCAGCTCTAAGGTTGGGACCCGCTGTGTTAGATGATTGTTGACTTGGGATCTGTCTTCCTGGATCTTCTACCTGTGTTTTCTAGGGCCTCCTTTCCAATGATCACTTTCACATAACAACCATCCACATATTTGCTGGCTCTCATCTTTACTCCTTCTGGATCATTCCTGGAGGTCAGGATCCGGAAATAGGTCTAATCGGCATAAAATAGAGTGCAATTATCTCCTACCAATACATCCTAAAATGATTTTCTAAAAATCCATTGGCAGCATTTCTTGCTTATATTGAGAATTTGACAACTGAAATTCTAAACCACAACAGACATATATTTCTTAGATATTTGTATAGTTTTGGGGGCGTGTTTTGTAAACGGAAGTAAAATACATGCTAGATGTAAAATTTGACTGCAGCTATTGTTGTATTAGCTAGTTAATTTGTACTGGTCTTTCAGTTCTTCGAGTTTTTCAATAAGACATATAAAAATGTTCTTTTACAGATGAGTAATCCTCAATGATTTGTTCTAACTAATCTTTAGAATAAATTGAATCAAGAACATAGAAACAAGAAACGGTCGCTGTTAGACCATTTGAATATTTTGGTCTAAATTCCAAGTACACAATGATTAAAAGATATACTTTATTGAGCTGTAGCCTAGTATCATAGGGAAATTGAGAAAGGAGCATATTTTTCTTAAATTATATGTTAATCCAGAAGTAAATCACAAACATATTGTATAAAAATATGAATTCTTTCCCACTCCAGTTATTGTATTTCCTATTTATATATTTTTCAAGAGCACGGAGAGTTACACAGTTTAGAATTTGAGTTCTCAAGGATACTTAAAAAAATTTTTTTTTTTCCAAATGCTTATGTTCCTTAAATATAAAGTCCTTCCTAGTTGGGTAAATAAAATGAGATATAAGTAAGGTGACCTTTAAAACTTTTTAAACAATCCAAATACCCATCAATGATAGACTGGACAAAGAAAATGTGGCACATATATACCATGGAATACTATGAAGCCATAAAAAACAATGAGTTCTTGTCATTTGTAGGGACTTGGATGAATCTGGAAACCATCATTCTCAGCAAACTGACACAAGAACAGAAAATCGAACACCACATATTCTCACTAATAGGCAGTTGTTGAACAATGAGAACACGTGGACTCAGGGAGAGGAGCATCACACACTGGGGGCAGTTGGGGGAGGCTAAGGGAGGGAAAGTGGGGGGTGGGAAGGGTGGGGAGGGATAACATGGGGAGAAATGCTGGATATAATATGCACCTATGCAACAACCCTGCAAGACCTGCATATGTACCCCAGAACCTAAAGTAAAATAAAATTAAAAAAAGCACTTTTTAAAGTATTAGATATTAAAATGTAGTTGACAGTCACCCCACCTGATATCATGGAAATAGATGTAAGATTGCACAAGTTAACATTTCATTTGAAGAGTTACGGCCAATGGTATTGACCTTCCTATTGTTTTAGCTGTATTCAGCTTTACTTGAGCTTCCAGAAGTAATGAACTTATTGTGATAAAATCTACCATAAAAGAGCTTGTGCAGTTCTAACTCTGACCTTTTTCTTCCTGCTAGGGATTCAGTGGAATAATATGTACCAGGCTCCAGAACAAGGGAGCATGACATTTGGCTGGGTTTGCTGGATGATTCTGTTTGATTCAAGCCTTTATTTTTTGTGTGGATGGTACTTGAGCAACTTGATTCCTGGTAAGAATTTTGTACTTTATAAGATAACAAAATCATTCTTTAAAACAGTTTGAATTAATATGCATAAATATTAAAATAATCACTTATTCTTTAAGGAAGAGTCAGAAAGGGAAGTCTTAGGTTATGTTTTAAAAGCAGCTGTACCTTCTTAAGAAAAAATGTGAAGCTTTTGTTTCTCAAGTGAAATGCCAAAGGCCAACTGAGGGGTTAGCCAGGATGAAATTAGCACAAAAACCCACCAAGCCCACCAACCAGCTTCCAACAAATGGGCTTCGGTCTATACAGAAAAGATCCTGGTTTCCAAGATAGAGTGTTTGGGGAAGGCAGGCATGAGGGGTGAGGATGAGAGAGTCTGGGGACCCATGGTGCTGCAGGCTCCTAGTCAACAAAGAGGTCAGGTGGGGTGGGAGTGCTCAGAGTGCCTTGGGCAGAAAGTCACACCTAGTGGGGGTGCAGGGCCAGCAGCAAGTCAGTGGGTGGCAGGACCTGGAGAAAAGCAGGCAGAGCCCAAAGGCAGCTGAATAGGGTGGGCTGGGAGTGAGGGACCACCTCCAACCTCAGGGCTTTCAGTGTTGTCACAGATATGGGGTTTCCCAAATATGGCACACTACTCTGGTGTGGCAAGCATGCCCCAGAGGTCTGGAGGACAAGTGTATCAATGGCAGAAAAAGGCCACTAATGGTGATGGGTTTTCCTAGCTATGTTGGGAGGAAAAGAGGCATGCATACCTTTACCTTTTTGGATCAGGCTCAAAAGAGCAAAAATGGCACTTAAAATTAATTTACTTTATGAAATTATTTTATTTTTTAGAGATAACACTTTGATGGTGGTGTATTTTCTTGCTGAAATTACTTGTGACTCTGGGTCTATGCTTTTCAAAGCCAATGGCATCAAACTAAATTAAAGTTAAAAATGGAAAAGAGAGTTTCTAATCTTATACAAATGAAAATGGAGGGACAGAAGGAAAACGAACGCAATTCATTCTGTTTGTGAAAACACATTCCACACTTGGAGAGCTCATGCATCATTTAGGGATGGGTAAACATGAAAATAATTTGGGTCACTGAAAAGATTATTTTACATAAAAGTAGGAATATATGGCCCTCAAGAGATAGAGAGAGGACATCAATTGGAAATGTGATTTATTTAGGAAAAACTTAGACTGCATTGTCTTGGATAAGACTTTTGAATAAAATTTAAAGAAATAAAATTTAAGAAATAAGATTCTAAGAAATAAGAGATAAAAAAATGAGAAGGCCAAGGTTTCAAGGAAACTGGATGAGAAGCAGTTGACTATTGAAAAGAAGCAAAAATAAGAAAGTAATGTTACAAAATACATTTGTGATGTCAATTTACAATACAAAGACCAGCAAAAAAAGTCTATTCTCTGCAATGTTGAGATGAAGATAAAATGTGTCCCAGGGTTCAGAATGATCTGATTTCTCCCTCAAGCATCAGCACCTGAGGCAAGAGGCTCCTGGGGCAACATTTTTCTACATGGTAGTAAAGCAAATGAACATTGTATTCAGCTAGGATTTTCCCTCCAAATCCCACTGTGGAATTCTAAACTGAGAAAAGAGACTAAGCCTTGAGATGGATGTCAGGTATGCAGAGTGCTCACTTTCTAGCTCATATTTGAAGGGAAGAAAAGGGAATTGGAGTTACACTCATGTAGAAAGGTAACTGAGCTCAGAAAAACAGTGATGGTGAGAATGTCCTCACCAGTGGTACAGTACTGAATCATTCCCTATCCTGTGGGTCAGGGGATGATCGACCAAGCTGGTGGCTTTTAAGAACAGATTTTTTCTAAAAGTTCAATGAGTTCAATTTGAGGCTCAGAGGAAATTAAAATAAATTGTTTTCTTCAGGAAACTAAGAGATTCAAATGCTAGATTTGGTAATCTTTTGGAAGTACGTTGGCTATTGGAACCACGCTGAACCATGCCACATTTGGAACTTTTGTATATTCGACTGGGGGAATCATCACTCCTGTACCTTCTTTTATTTCCTCCTGTCCTTCCATTTCTTCAGGCTCCTAATTTCCTGTCTTCTCATTAGGGTGAAGGTTAAACCAACAATCCACTATCTTCATACACTGACACTGCAATCCTGCAGTCTCACATATGGCTCATGGTTAACTTCTACCCAATATGTTAAACTTGAGCTACTTCGGAATCAGCGGTTACCCTGCCACATCCAACTGGGGAAAAAGATCTGCTGATTTTACTTTGCAAGTCTCCCTTAAGTTCACATGGGTGTGCCTTTTCTAGGAAATGTCTCCATGTTTTCATCAGGCCATGCAAAGTGTTCTGTGACCTCTAATGAGTTATTGGAGCTACTTTGAGCTATATTGAATTCTACACCCTGCAAAAGGAAGCAAATGTAGGAGGACCTCAATCCACGTTTGAATGGCAACCACTCATTTCAACATTTTGTTTAGTGAATTTAGAGTGGTGGGTTTTTACATTTCTCTTTGTGATTATAACACTAATTTTAGCTATTGGCTAGTTAGGAAGAAAGATCAGAGTCGATTACAGAATTAAAAAAAAATCAAAGCTTGAACATATTTATAACACATATTTAAAAATATAAACACAGAGCTGAATAAACGTCAATAAATATTTTTGAATTTATCATGAAATTCTGATTCTTTTATTTCAAAAGCCAAAAATAGTAAGAGTTGGCAATTTACATATTTTTTAAATTGTACAAGGGTATTTATTTTCAACTTTGACAAAGTTTGCCAAAAGTAACAAAGAATAAGATTGCCAGACACCGTAAATGGGCTTTCAGATCCATAAAGAGGGTTATAATTTCTAGGATTTTTCAAATCTTCTTTTTAAGAGAAATATTCTATATTACCTCCTTTACTCTCTTGAAATGAAACTTACAGATAATGAAAACTATCTGCATATGAGTCTTAAAATTAATGTAATTTTAATATTTTAATATAAAAGAAATAAAGTAATTTCTAATAAGATAATATGTAAATTCTCAGTGCTCAGGCATGAAGTCATGAGAACACAAAATGAGATATTCAGTTGCTTACACTTATGTGGAAAAGTTTGGATTTAAAAGAAGGAAAATGGTCAGAAACCCTTTGGTACTAAAAGGAAAGAAAATGCACCAGTAAAGATAAATGTAGACACTGGAATTAAAGCTATTGTTAATGTAAGAAATACTAGATCAAGACTTATTTGTATGTGGTTAAAAAGATGAAAATAACTTTCAATAATGTAGGAAAAATGTGGGATGAAATATTAAACATGAATGAGGTGAATAAAAGGATGATATTTTTATAAGTAACCTGGGCCTTATTTAAAAGTAATCAGGGAATTCCCTATGTTAACACATGGGGCAGGTGATGACAAAACAGAGAAGAAGATACATTTCCTGTCTTGGAATTCTGTCTCATTTCAGTCTTTCCATTCAGCCTCCAGTCTTTTAAATGCTTTTGAGATCTATTCCTTAGTGGTGACAGGAAATACAGAACTGATTGGACAAAGAAATAATATTAATAATCTAAGAGGGTTTATCGAGAAGCCGAGGGGTGAACATCTGGGAACAGCATCAAAATAAGTTTGAAAGCTCATAGAGAGGCTCATATTAATCATTTCAATGTGTAATTTTTACCAAATGGTCTTATTGTGCTATACAATTAAAAAATATATATAGAATGACAATGTAATATATAGTCACTAACCCTTAATATAATGTAGTGTATTTTGTGAATGTCTACTAATTGAAAAATATTTGGGGAGGGGACTCAAGATGGCGCTGTGAGAACAACCCAGGATTGGAGCCCGCGTTGAATCCGCAAACTGGTGAGTCAGTGCTGCATTTCCAGACTGATCTTTGTTGCCCACAGAACGGGGAAACTCCCAAGTATAAAAAGACACGGGACGCCAGGCAGTAGGTCTGCCTGGCGAAGCCGGCAGCCGGGGCGGCGGCGGCCGGCCCTACCCAGCAATCCCCACAGGGCGCGCTTTCCGGGTGCCTTGTTGAACCGGCAACCTGAGACTTGAGAGGGCTGGACTTGAGACTGAACGAGACTTGCACAGTAGCCCAGCCCAGGGGATTGCAGGGACAGATCGTTTGGGAAACCCAGTGGGACGAACAAAACCGCGATTTCAAACTATCCTGGGCAGACGGTCCGAGACGCTCTGTGGGGGAGGGGCGTCCACCACTACGGAGGCAACCTGCCCCAACTGATATACACGCCCACTGCTGAGGCAGCCAGCCGTTGCCGAGGCAACCCGCCCCAACTGAGATACACGCCCACTGCTGACGCAGCCAGCCGTTGCCGAGGCAACCCGTCCCTACTGAGATACACGCCCACTGCTGACGCAGCCTGCCGTTGCTGAGGCAACACGCTACAACGAAGAGTCTCCGCCGCAGGGCGTGGCGGAGACCACAGCAGAGCCGGCAGGAAAAGCGCGAATCACACAACAGCAGGGCGGAGCCTCGGCAGCCAAACAGTGGCTAGTCTGCCTTCGAGCTGGGCAGGACACCTGATCGGACATCCAAAAATAAAGCCCAAACCCCTCAACACAGAGCATTTGAGGAAAAAAAAAAGGGTTGTTTAATGAGCTGTGTTGCAGCAGAATCAAACATAGCAGCCTAACAGCCCTGAATGAACAACAGAGTGCACAGCTCAGCAATTAAACCCCTATAAAGTACAAACTGTCTCCTCAAGCAGCTCCCTGACCCCTCTATATCCAAAAGACTGTCATTAGGCAGGCATCATCCTGGGACAAAGAGAGCAGAAAAAGAAACTGGTAGCATCCCTCGCTGTGCCACGGCTACTAGAGGTGCACCCCAGAGAAGCAGGGTCTGGAGCGGACCTCAACAGTCGTACAGCGAAGGGGCTAGACTGGTAGAAGGAAAACCAAGCAACAGAAATACTTCATCATCAACATTCTGAGTGTCCACTCAGAGACCCAAACGAAAAGTCAGCAACTACGCAGACGACCAGCGGACAAATCCACAAAGATGGGAAG